AGGATAAATAAAATATGTTTTGGTCTTTCTGAATGATCTTTCTAAAGGTTTAATAATAGGCCGTTTGTAATATTTTGGCGTGACCGACTTAGCTAGGACCCTTATTTACGTTGTGTTTGTTTAGTAACTTAGTTCTTTTAGGTGTCTTTTGGAAGAATGAATATTCACTAGAGCAATTGAAAGCTGTTGGTAGTGCTTTATAAGTTAAGTGAACCCCGTTCACGAAGACAGGGCTCGAAAAAGGTTAAGAACATAAAACGTCCCTATTCCGCTTGTATCAGGTTTACATTATTAATTATCCCTTCCCGCTCGGAAAAGGCTCAAAATATATTTATACAAAATACCCGATACAAGGGCTTCGCTCTCCTACATTTATTGAAAAAAAATGTAGGGGAGGTACACGGCCCCACACACGCCGTGCACGGTGAGCGCCAACCATTTTGATGCACTCCCCCCGAAGGGAACGCTAATTCGGGAACTGGACCGTAGTCCACAGCAAAATAACTGGCGAACCAGTAAAAGAGGCTTGGCCCCTTGTTAGTGCGTAAGCACAAACATCGACCGAAGTCGCGCATGTCAATGCGTGTAAACGCCATACAGAATACGAACGAATCCAGCCACAGTGAATGTACGTCACACGGTTTAGGCAAATAGGCACACTGGCCGTAAACCCTCCGTGAGCGCCACCACCTGCCAGACCGCCGCTCCTGCAGACGTGATCTAAGTGTATGGCATCACCAGCAATTGCATGATCAGCACGGCTACTAGCCGCAGAGCGTGTCATGAGTCTACCGCTCACCTCAAGGGAATGGGGTCCCACGTTGTGCGGCTTTCGGCCGCAGCCTTGAGAGTCTCCTCAGATCCTCCCGCCAGCTACCACCCGCATGAGGTCGACACATATGCTCCACCAACCAATACAATGGCAGATGTAGCCAAAAGGCAGTTATAAGATAAGAGTAATAATTCGCCATCAGAAAGGGTTTGTGTCACTGACGTTGAGTAAATGCATTTTCGATCATGTTTGTCTCACCCACCGACAAGTTGCCTTCAATCATTCAAAGGTGGGAAAGTTACAGAGATATAATATTATGTTGTTATATAAAACATCGTGGAGGGCAGACAGTCTGCAGCCCCGTAATGAAGGGACCCGACTTGGGCAAAGCTACTCAGGTTTGAGTCAATCCAAGACGCAGAGAGCGCCATTGAGAATAGCGTCCCACCAAACAACCATCGCAGAGACGCAATGCTGCAGAACTCAACAAGCATCAATACGACTATCGTCGGGCTTACACCATTCCAAGGTCCCCCATGCATCCCAGCAGACATCACCACCTGCATACCTCCATCGACCAGAACCACAAGAGTGCGTCGAATCAGGCGCAGCACACCCGCAGATCCATCACAAGATGCAATACCGTAAGTAGCAGTAAGCATCAATGCAACTATCATACGGATGGCGCCCCCCTCACAACACACCCACATGACCCCTATCGACTTTGGTAACAAAGTTTGTATTGTTGTTATATAAAAAATATCACCAACGTATCATAGTAGCACGCTACTAAGACGCCAATGAACAAAACTCCACGTATCATAGCGTTAATGCACTAAGACATGAAGTTGAGTATGCCTGCTACACTTAAAAGTGCTACCAAACACACTCATCATCCCAATCCGAAAGATAGACGACACATCGCTATGCGCGACGACGTCGCCCACAAACGGTATGGGTGTGCGATGTCCATGGGAAAGCCGTATTACAACAACAAACCCGCTTACCACCGACACTAAGATGTTAATTGTATACCTCCATCGACCAGAACCACAGGAATGCGTCGAATCAGGCGCAGCACACCCGCAGATCCATCACAAGACGCAATACCGCAAGTAGCAGTAAGCATCAATGCAACTATCATACGGGTGGCGCCCCCCTCACAACACACCCACATGACTCCTATCGATTTTGGCAACAAAGTTTTTATTGTTGTTATATAAAAAATATCACCAACGTATCATAGTAGCACGCTACTAAGACGCCAATGAACAAAACTCCACGTATCATAGCGTTAATGCACTAAGACATGAAGTTGAGTATGCCTGCTACACTTAAAAGTGCTACCAAACACACTCATTATCCCAATCCGAAAGATAGACGACACATCGCTATGCGCAACGACGTCGCCCACAAGCGGTATGGGTGTGCGATGTCCACGGGAAAGCCGTATTGCTACAACAAACCCGCTTACCATCGGCACTAAGATGTTAATTGTATACCTCCATCGACCGGAACCACAGGAATGCGTCGAATCAGGCGCAGCACACCCGCAGATCCATCACAAGACGCAATACCGCAAGTAGCAGTAAGCATCAATGCAACTATCATACGGGTGGCGCCCCCTCACAACACACCCACATGACTCCTATCGATTTTGGCAACAAAGTTTTTATTGTTGTTATATAAAAAATATCACCAACGTATCATAGTAGCACGCTACTAAGACGCCAATGAACAAAACTCCACGTATCATAGCGCTAATGCACTAAGACATGAAGTTGAGTATGCCTGTTACACTTAAAAGTGCTACCAAACACACTCATCATCCCAATCCGAAATATAGACGACGCATCGCTACGCGCTACTACGCCGCCCACAAACGGTATGGGTGTGCGATGTCCGCGGGAAAGCCGTATTGCTACAACAAACCCGCTTACCACCGGCACTAAGATGATATGTCTAGGACACATCGGTTAGCGAGTCCAAGTTTACCTCGGACCAAATGCTCGTGAAGCAGCACACACGCCACCATAATATTCCTTTTCAAGTCCCTAATAAGGACTAGTCATTTTGCTACAGTACTAGGAGCAGTCAGTCACCCGACCACCCCATACAATGCTTATGCATCAAGGAGACCTCCTATAATATTGCTTTTGTATCATAGACCTTAATTTCATAAGTCATTAATATATAGGGTTCGAACCCACGACCCTACTATTGTAATGCATATTAATCATAGAGACCTTTTATAGTATTGCTTTTGGATCATAGACCTTACTTTCATAAGTCATTAATATATAGGGTTCGAACCCACGACCCTACTATTGTAATGCAAATTCATCATGGAGACCTTCTTTAGTATTGCTTTTGTATCATTGAGTTTAATATCATAAGTCCCTAATATAGGACTAGTCTTTGTGCTACAGTACTTCAGGCAGTCGGGCTCCCGACCACCCCATATATATGTACAACTGCAGGTATGTACCTCCGGCAGCTTCCTCCATACAAGACGTCTATACCTGAACACCTTCCATAACTTTCATATCCGAACAAAATTTTCTTTTATACACGAACACCTCCCATGACTTAAACAATTTTTAACAAATTTTCTAATTATCTTATAAACGTTATTTAACTTAATTTTATAATATTTTTTGACTTGTATTTCTATTATTTATCTTATTTTAAATATTTTTTCAAGTTTTTAAATAAATTTATTTATTACGAAAAACAATAATTTTGCCTTTAATTTACTATGTTATTGGGATAATGTCTGAAATATAATAACTTTATGTTTATTAATTTAACTTAATTGCTTAATATATATCTTTAAAGACTATTTTTGACGCCCCTTTATATTGAATTTAATTATTAATAATAATATTGGCTCGTCACAGTATGTTTGAAGCAATTCAAAAGTCATTAGAGCAATACAAATTATCTTTTCATAATGTATCTGGGTTAAGTGCAGATAATACAAATGCAAATTTTGGTGTTAATCATTCTTTATTCACCAATATGAATAATTTGGTACCAGGTTTGATTAAAAGAAATTGTCACGCACATATAGTGCATAATTGCGTCAGACATGCCATGAGCTTTTTATCACATGACATAGAAAATGTTATTTTAAAAATTTATGCTCATTTTTCACATTCTGCTGTAAGAAGAGAGGAGCTAAAAAAATTTGTAGCATCAGTAGATGGAGACTTTCACGAAATCAAACGCCATGTGGGAACAAGATGGCTCTCTCTTTTGCCATGTATTGATACTTTATTATTAAATTTGTCACCTATAAGAAGCTACTTTTTAAGTTTAGACTACTGTCCAATGGTTTTACAAAATTTATTGATGCTCAATGAAACTGAGAATGATGTGATTGAAATTTATTTGCATTTTTGTAGTCACTTATTAAATTTATTTAATAAAGCTGTTAAATGTCTAGAAGGCAACAGCATAACAATTTTAGACATTTATGGGATTATGGATAATCTTAGAAACGGATTAACACAAAGAAAACAAGATCTTTTCTTTGGCTATGAAACAGACAAAAAAATGAAACTGACTTCATCGGAACTGACTAGAAAAATTCACACGAATTTTTTATTATTTGTTGACAAAGCCTTAGAGTATCTGAATAAATGGTTTGATTTCAATAACACAAACTGGTTATTTACACTTGGATATATAAATTTAAAGAGCAAAATTGAATTTAATAATATTGTTAACATAATTGAAAATTTAAATCTTCAAAAACTTAATGTAGATATGGATGATCTATATGGAGAAATTGCTTTACTAAACCAAGTTTATAATCAGATAAGTACTTCTAAGAGTTTTGCAGAACTATCTACTGCACAAAAATGGCAGCAAGTATTTAACCCTTCAATTCCCATGTCCAATCTAATGCATTTTTTCAATATTTCCTATATTTATTCAATCTATAGACGTTTACTAAAGCCACAAATAAAGTTAATTTTTTTTATACTGTCCCCCTCCCGTTTTATGAGGGGGTCACCTACAGGTGACACTGGGCATTGTGTTATACGACTTATGTGGTTTTTAGCATTATTTCAGGGGAGTAAAACACAGAATTTTATTTATTTATTAGAATTTTTATTTACAAAATCGTTAAAAAAAAGAACAAATAACTAAATCTAACCAATCTTACGCCTATTTATTCTGGAACATATACCAACATTTTAGATGCAAACCGATATTACATTTACTGCACATTTTTTCTAGTGCGTTGATGACAATACCCGCATCTTCGCTGTGAACAGACGACTTGTGCATGATCATCTGCAGTTCCTGCGTTTCTCACTTCATTAGGCACTCTCAGTTGCAGAAGGGCGCCACAAGCAGAATTTCGGGTCGTAGGTTTTCCGTACATTGCTAGGTAAGTTGTCACCACATTTCGCCGGAAATCACAGTAGGACCAGTTATTATCAGACTGCCTTTTGATCAGCCATGCATTTTGGCAAGCTGCATCTAATCCAAATGCAAAGAGAGGGAACCACCATTTTTTACCCTGAAGAGCTACTCTCATAGAGTCAACATTTTCGTCAAAACGGTCGACTCCGCCCATGTATTTGTTATACATTTTTATAACAGCTGGGCAATCAACTTGTATTTTGGACCTTTTTTTTATCAACAAATCCAATTTGATCTACTTTTGTGATAGGATCTAATCCATGGCAGTTGGATAAAATGGTCACAATGTTGTTGTCATGCCATTTTGCAACAATAATCCCTTCAGATGCTTTATGATATAACTTTCCTCTGGGTTCTTTCTTCATCTCTTTGGAATTTGGAAGTTTGCAGTTCTCCAAGCGATTTTCGCGAACAGTTCCAGTGCCTCCTATATTATGCTCTCGCAAATATTTTATCAAAGGCAAACCAGTAAAAAAATTATCAAAATACAAGTTATATGGTCCCAACTCTTGTGGCAATCTTTCATGAAGTTCTAAGACAACAGCGGCACCTAAGCCCAAGTCAGATTGTATCTTGAGAATGGGACCAGATGCACCCTGATAAGGCTCACAATTTACTAAATACCCATGGCGAGTAGCGGCTGACCAAAGCTTGTAACCAAATCTAATGGGTTTTCCGTGTACGTGTTGCTTGGTGCCGTGCCTCCCAAAATATGGTACTATAGTTTCGTCAATTGAAATATGAGAGGAGCCAGCTCTCCAAAAGTTTGCTGTGAAATTTTTATTCAGTTTTGTGAAATATTCTCGAACTTTAGCAAATTTATTATTGGATGGCAGAGATGTACTGTCGCAAAGATGAATATATTGCTGAATTTCGAAAAACCTATTACGCCTAATGCTAGATGCTACTAAGTAATTGTGTGTATCACTTTTCACTTCCCAGAACATTCTCATATATTTTGGCGTCAAATACCCTGTTAGTAACAGTATCGAAATATATACTCTAATTTCCTCCGTAGTTACATTCAGAGTATGATTCCTTTGTAAGGCATAGAGATTGGACATCTCAACTACATAACTAATCAGTTCATCACTATAAAGTAATTCAAAACATTGGACAGGAGTCATCTCCTCCTGTAAGTGGGCAAAAACTTCTTCATCTCGGTCTCCTTTACCACAAGTCGTAATAGAAGCAGTGGTTTCATAATCGTGCCATTTTTTTTACTGTATTTTCTTTTTTCTTCATTTTCTTTCGGGCAGGCATGGATTCTTCTTCTTCCTCGTCAAGATTTTCTCCAGACATGGAAGGCTGGTTCTGTATCTCAACTTGAGATCGAAGCATGCGACTAGGAAGATGAAGGATATTAGCTTCATTTTCATCACCACTGTCTATATCACCTTGGTCTTCTTCGGCCTGCAACGCCTCGACAATCTCATCTAACGTCAACCTATAATAAAAAGAAACAATTTGTATAAGCACAGCAATATGACCAACATATAACAAAGTTTTGTGTAAAAACAGTAGAAATACATAATATAATGCCCAGTGTCACCTGCAGGTGACACCGCACATTATAGGTGTTATAACAATACCACTTTTAATTTATATTTTCAATAAATACTTGTATATTATAGCTTACATATTAATTTTTAACATTTGATAAGAAAAAAACACAATACTTACGGTTTGGCCATTTTATTTTTACTTTTTCCTGCAATAGATCACAAAAACACAAGTTGATGCAATTACGCGCAAAATAACTTTGTGACATTGACAGTTGACGTATGGTGTGTGTTGCCAAATATAAAAATTGTCAAGTGGTACTCTTCGACATTACTACCATAGCGGTAGAATTAAGAAATAATATTTCCATGTGGTATAAAATAATGATTAAACTCCTGTCACCTACAGGTGACACTGGGAATTGACGAGTTAAGAGTGATGATAATTTTTTAAACTTGTATAAAGTAATTTCATTTTTATTGTCTATTCCCGCCACGTCAGCATTCACAGAAAGAGTTTTTTCTGTGATGAACAGCAAATGGCGAGACGAAAGAAACAAAGCGTCTCTAAATTTGATAAAAAATGAATTACTTATTTACTTTAATTTAAATTTAGATTGTAAAAATGCTGTGCAATTTTTTAGTGAAGATAGTAATTTGATACAAACTGCAAAAAGCAATAAAAATATGTTTTTAAATATAATAATAAAGAAAAATAAATTGTACTTTATTTTGAATCTATGTACTTTTTTTTCTTACCTTTAATAACCAATGTACTTTAATTGCAAAAAAAAAGGTGGCAACCCTAATCAAGACCCAGTCGGAAAAGAATGTACAGAGTAGTGCAAGCACAGAGACCGCAAATAATGTCATAGTCAATGTATTGTCCGAAAGCATGGGGTAAGTACATAATTAAGAAAAACCGAAATACTTCGGATGTGAAGTGATTGACCAGTCGGAGTAGTCTTGTGAGAATTTACATACACAGTACCTATCCCCACTATGGGGCAATCACCGACTTTTTAGTTTTTTTTTCTTTATTATTTATGCAATTTGCATTACGGCATCTTGTAAGACTCAAAAGAACAAACATTCTTTACGTACGATGCACCAATTAAGAAAAAAAAACAGTTATCAATTCAATAACTTTTCGAACAATATTTTATAACGAATAAAGTACAGAATTTATAATCTATATGAACTAATATTATAAATAAAAGAAAGATTTATTTAAGAAGTCAGCAATGCTCTCTGTGTTGTTCATTACTCTGCATACTGAGCTAGCTCACTCAAATATAATATAATCAAAGCCCGTACGGCTTTGATTATATTACACATGTCTATATAAACACAGCATACGGGCGGCGCGTGGTTTGCTGCAAAACGAGCAAGGTCATTCGCGTCGTATTCGGCCTTAAGATATAATAAAGAAATTTTTGTTAAGTTCTTCTTTTAATTACAAATTAGCTAGTTATTGTGAATTTTAATGTCATAAGATATATTTTTGCTTAAAACTTTGATAATAATACGTTTAGATTCTATTACCTGCATTAAACTGTTTAACTATTTAAGATAAATAAAAACAATGATAGGAGCTGTGTTGTGATCTTTAGCATTTTAAAACATAATTAAGTTTGTATTTTGAGTTTTTAAGATGTATAACCACATAGGATAAGCTGTAAATTACGTAATAACCTTTTGCACTTCGTTAATGTTTTGTAAAATGTGTATCTTCTATTGTTTTTACTATGTATCTAGTTTATTATTTTTGAGAAAACATAAATGTTGTGTATAAATTTATGTAAAATAAAGATACTTTACCAATTAGGAAAATGTGATAACGTAAATTATGCACGAATTGGGGGGTTTTCACTTTTCGCACACGGCACGGTATAGCTAAGGAAGCACTTTAGTAAGGCGATTTATTCGCAATTTCCAAGGATCTCCTAGGTGTGAGTTGTTTGTGATTAGCAGTGATCACATACAACCGCCGATACGACATACTCCGCTGATCGTTGAGTCCGCTGATTCCGTGAGGCGTCGAGGTCACCGGCCCCTAGGCAGATTCTTGGCACTTTAAGACGCTCGTGTCTATTGTGCCTAGTCGCGTTCTTAAAGTGCCACCACCGCACTTCCCCCAACCCTTTTGCTATAAAAGGGGCCTACCCCTTTTATGTTGTGCCCATAGTGTCGAAGCTCTTAAGTTGTCATCACCACCATCCGAGTCGCGCATCACCATCTGCTGCCGATCGGCTGGTAATTTAGATAGGGCCTTAGTTTGATTACCACTGACTCAGTTAGGTAGGGCGCCAACATGTCAGGTAATGATAAGGGGGAGCCCCCCCCCCCCTAAGTCAAGAAAACCACCGGACCGCCCTGGCTTTTTGGAGAGGCCAATCGCCTGTAGGGACCTCTTCAACCCCGAAAGGACTAGAGTAGTGTCCTTGATATGTATTGCGGGTGCGCAGCACAGCCAGTAATAAACTAGCCTCGCTACTAAACGGTTCAATACTTCTCACTGGCGACGAGTTTTGTACATACCTACGCGTAAAAAAAATTATGTCGTATTTAGGTAATTTGCCTGTTTTCGATCACAAAACAAGTGAATGGTCAATATTTTATGGGAAATTAACACAGTTCCTAAGGATAAATAATGTGACAAAAGAAGAAATTAAGAGTGGTATCCTGCTGACTCGTCTCACCGATGAAACCTACCGCTTAGTACGTAACTTAGCGTACCCTAACACGGTGGAATCGTTAACTTACAACGAGCTAGTTCAAATACTCAACAGCCATTTCAAACCAAAGCAGTGCTCCTTCGTAGATAAGGCCAACTTTTTTGGAGCGACTAGAAGTCCAGGAGAATCACTGGGAGACTGGGCGGCGCGATTAAGAGGACTAGCAAGCTATTGCGAATTCGGCGACGCCCTAGAAACGAATCTGAGAGATCGTTTTGTCCTAGGCCTGGGCTCTGGCCCGGAACGCGACAAGCTGTTCGAGCAGAACCCGACAACACTTACGCTAACTAAGGCGATTGAAATAGGGGAACAAGCTGCTTGCGCAAGAGAGGTAAAGGTGATGCTGAATACGAGCGATTTTGGGCTCATCAAGGAAGAGCCTGTGTATCGTGCAAAAATTCACCAGTTCGCTTGGGGAAGCAGAGGTGACCGCAGTGGCAATGACAGTGTCGGTGCTAGGACATCGCGACGCGAAACTGGCTTCTGTTCAGTTTGTGGTATGAAAAATCATTACAGTGATAAATGCCGGTACAAAAGCTATAAGTGTCAAAAGTGTGGTATAAAAGGGCATTTAAAGAAAGTTTGTGCTAAAAATAAAAATAACTCGTGTGCTTATCACATTCAATCAGAACAGGAATGCGGCGTTAATGAGGTCAAGGACATAGGTTACGTAGAATGCCAGAACTTCAACTTAAGGTACGTTGATGATAAACCAATTGAAATAAATTTAATTTTGGGCAATCACAACTTAACAATGGAACTAGATTCAGGCTCGAGCAGCTGTGTAATTTCTGAACAATTGTATGTTGAAAAGTTTTCCGATTATCATTTAAATAACAGCAATATAAAAATGTGTCTGTATAATGGGCATAAAATCTCTCCACTTGGATATTTCTGAGTCGAAGCTTGTTATAATAAAGTTAAACACAAAATAAAAATTTATGTTGTTAAAAATGGGGGCCCTCCCCTGCTGGGTAGAGATTTTATGTCCGCGTTTAATTTAATTATAACGACTAACATAATGTTAGTTGTTATAATTAACGTTTAATTTAATTATAACAACTAACATAATGTCTATGTGTATTGATAAGAATGTAAACAATGTATTGCAAAAGTTCCCTAATTTGTGGCAGGATGAGTTAGGTTCGTTCAATAAATTTAAAGTATGTTTACGCTTAAAGGAAAATGGAAAAACCTAAGTTTTTCAAGCCACGAACCGTACCCTTTGCCCTTAGGGATAAAGTCGAAGAAGAGTTGAACCGTTTAGTAACCTTAGGTATTTTAGTTCCAATTGACCAATCAGAGTATGCCACGCCTATTGTACCTGTTTTGAAAGAAAACAATAAAATAAAAATAGCAGGAGATTTCTCGGTCACGCTGAATAAAGATCTTTTGATTGAAAGATACCCCTTACCTCGAATCGAAAAAGTATTTGCTAAAATTGGGGGTGACGAACGATACAGTAAAATTGATCTTAAGAATGCTTATAATCAATTTGTTTTAGATGAGCCATCCCAATTACTTACAACAATAAATATAATAAATAACTGGCCCCAATAGTGATTCCCACATTAAAAGATTAGAAGAAGTACTAAGTCGGTTAAGTGACGCCGGATCGCAACCCGGCTTAGAGACAAGTGTGATTTCTTTAAGGATAGTGTAAAATATTTAGGCTATGTCGTAGATAAAAACGGCTTAAAGACTGACTCGGAAAAAGTTCACGCTATCATTAATGCGCCCGAGCCGACTAACGTAACCGAAGTTAAGAGATTTTTAGGCATGGTCAATTATTATAGGAATTTTATACCAAATGCTTCTTCACTACTCCATCCTCTTCACGAGCTATTGCGTCACGATACGCCATGGGAGTGGGGCGAGCGTCAGAGGCGTAGCATGGCGGCAGTGCGCCGCGAGCTGGCGTCCGAGCGCGTGCTAGCACTCTTCGAGCCCACAGCACAACTCGTACTGTGCGTGGACGCCGGACCCGGGGGCCTAGGCGCCGTTCTATCACAACGATCGGACGACGGTCACGAACGCCCCCTCGCATTTGCGTCTCGTTCACTCACCACCAGTGAACGTAACTACAGCCAAATTCAGAAAGAGGCAACTGCCATTATATTCGGGGTGAAGAAATTTCATCAATTTCTGTATGGTCGAAGCGATCCGTTTATTCTTAAAACCGACCATAGGCCTCTAGTTTCTATCTTCGATACTAAAACAGGCATACCGATTACAACAGCGCTGAGATTACAACGATATGCTATAATATTATCGACCTATAATTACACTGTCCAGTATGTGTCGAGCGATAAAAACGTAGTTGTAGATTATTTTTCTCGCTCACCCTTAACGTGTAGAAACGCATCGGAATGCCACGATAACGATTTAGACTCTTACTACGTAGTTAAGTTTATGAAAGAGACGTCACCGGCGACGACAATCCGCGATATTGCACGAGTGACACAACAAGATACGGTTCTTAAAACAGTCATTAGGTACATGAATCACGGTTGGCCACGTAAAATAAGCTGTCGAACAATACTTCCTTATTTTCAATGTAAGTCCGACTTACAGTTCGAACAAGGGTGCTTATTTAGGGGACATAGAATAGTAATTCCGTCAAAGTTTAGGGAATACATGCTAAAAGAACTACACGATACACATCTAGGAATAATAAAAACAAAAAGTAACCGACGAAGTAGGATGTGGTGGCCGGGTATCGACCGCGACATTGAACATTGGATCGGGTCCTGCAAAACATGCGTGAGCTTACGCTGCGCCCTTCCGCGCGATCCGCCGGCGCCGTGGCCCGCCGCCGCCGGCGCATGGCAGGGCGTACATATCGACTACATGACCGTGGGGCAAAGGGTATACCTCGTGGTAGTTGATTCGTTTAGTAAATGGCTGGAATGTATATACATGAACAGTGGAACTTCGTCACAATCGCTTATTACAAAATTAAAAAATATTTTCTCTACCTTCGGTATACCTAATGTTTTAGTTTCTGATAACGATGTTAAAATAAACTCTAATAAATTTAAGACCTTCTGCTCTAACAATGGTATTAAGTACTTAACTTCCCCCATATATCATCCACCAAGTAATGGACAAGCGGAGAATTCGGTTAGGACTTGTAAAAAGATGCTAAAATGTATTTTAAAAGATAACCTACCACAGCACCAAATTAATGAAGTATTATTGGGATATTTATTTAACTACAGGAACACGGTACACTGTACAACCGGCGAAACGCCGGCTAAATTAAAGTTTGGTAGAAATCTACGATCTCGTCTCGACTTAATTATACCCATAGAAAAAACACAATTAAATATGCCTTTATTAACCAGTAGGAGATTTTTTGAATTAGGTGATACTGTTTGGGCTCGGCGGTACAGTGCCCGGAAAGAAACTTGGGAGTTAGGTACAATTAAAGAGAAGGTCGGTAGTAAAATGTACAAAATATTTATTATAAAATTTGAAGCAACATGCATTAGACATATAGATCAGCTGTTAAAATTTACGGGCAACGATAATTCATTAAATAGTCACAATTTTCAGTCGTTACCCTTGTCACCGTCTATGCCCGTTAATGCTCCTTTATCCGAACCTTCTGTAGGCAATCCTCGGTCATCGACCGTAGTAGAGCAACCCGTTAATACTGACGCAATAGACCATGATAATGGGGAAGAATGGGGCGATTATTCGGCACAGGACAGCGTGGGAGACTCAACAGAGATTCCGGAAGCGTCAGATTCGCCTGAAGCTTCCGAAAACGGAGTCGAACAGCCTCAGAGCGAGTCTGTCCGCTCCAATGACGTACCACCAGCGCAGGCACCGACACCCGCTCGTCAACTGCGCCCCAGGAAGAGGATAGATTATAAGAAATATTTTTAAATGATTTATTGTGTTATTAAATTTAGTTGTATGTGTGTTGTGGTGTGGTGTGATATTATTCAATTTATTAAATGTTGTACATCTGTTAAGTCATAAGTATCTTAAATATTGTTTTATTTAAAACTTTATGTATTATATATTTAATAGAAATTTAACTATTAACTGATGACTGTAAATCTACTTTGTGGTATCAAAAATTAAGTGTAGAGGAATGATATGTATTGCGGGTGCGCAGCACAGCCAGTAATAAACTAGCCTCGCTACTAAACGGTTGTTTCCTTTGTTCAATACTTCTCAGTCCTCCTACTCTCAAATCCCGACCCGAAAGCCTTCGTCGCCGGGTAAGGAGCCCGCACCGTGGGCCGCACTCTCGCCCATCGTACCTGAGTGTACGATTGGGCGTGAACCGTTGACCCTTCAACAGCGAGCAAAGAAGACGACACGAAGGCACACACCACCCGAGATCGATGCCTCCCTCCACGAGAAGAGACAGCGCATCGGTTCTCATGACCCAACGCTATTGGAATCATCATCACCACCATCATCGGATGATGAGGAGCCCCAACCGGTAACTAGGAAGGAGGTCCATACGTCACCTCCTAAATCGCCATCACCACCGAAACGACCACCATCCATCTCACCGGACCGGCGTAGTCACGACTTGGCCCAATACGAGCAAGGAGGTGAGGAGTCCTACAGCTGGGGCTCTACAAGCTACAACCTATGCCACCGTTGCTAGTCTTTCGGCCACACCTCCGCATACTGCTTCATGCCAGTGAAATGCATTTGCTGTGCCGCCGGGGAGCATATTGCTAGCCTTTGCCCAAGGGGTAGAGAAGAAGAGCCGAAGTGCGCAAATTGTGCAAAAAACCACACGGCCAACGATCGCCGCTGCCCAGTCCTGAGGAGGATTGCTAGGAAGCAGGGGATCGTTGTACCTGGGCTACTCCCGGAGAACCCTAAGAGGATCCCCCAGAGTCGCCCAAAGGCTGTCACCATCCAGGAGGATGGGTGGGCCACAGTCACCAGAGGGAAGGGTAGGCAACCAATACCAATGGAAACGGTGGAACCCATAGAACAAAGGGCAACCACCGGGGCGACTCTCCAACCTCCTGCCAGAAAGGGCTCTACCAGAAAGTAGAGCCCGCTCTACACATAGAGCGCGCTCTACACAGAGAGCGCGCTCTACATATAGAGAAAAGACCACCATAAACGCCCCGAGAACAGTGCCTTCACAACATAGACCATCAACGTCCGGCCTCGAGTCAGCTGATGCCATCCACAGATTGGTAGGCATAGCTATCGAAGTCGGTGCACAAGTCCTGGCTAACATAAGGGCCGGGACAGATCCAGTAACCGCCGTTATGAAGGCGCTGGCATCGCTACTGGCAAGGCACTACGGAGGACAGTAACCTGCGTCTGCTTTACTGGAACCCGGACGGGATCCAACAAAGGATCCATGAACTCTGCACGGTCGCCCAGCAGCAGGACATCCAGGTGATCTTGCTGGGTGAAACCAAAATTAGACCATCAACGCATCTTAAGCTGCCAAACTATACGGTCTACAGGAGGAACGAGAGAACAATCCTCAAGGGATCGCTTACAGATGGCTTTATCGTCCACCAAGAACTGGACCTACCAGACTTCCAGACGATGCGTTCAATCGGCATAAAAATGGAGGCGGCGGGTGAGGAACTAAGGATTTTTGCAGCATACCGCCCGCCGGGGACTCCATTCTACTCCTCAGACATCCGGACGGTTATGGAAGGTACGACACCCACCATCATTGCCGGGGACCTGAACGCCAAACACCCGGCGTAGGGATCAAGACTAATCAACCTGCCTGGTCGTGAACTATATGATGACGCAGATAGCCAGAACTATGACGCTCTAGGTCCCGAGGAACCGACGCACATCCCTATTGACCCTAGGAAGCGTCCGGATGTATTGGATATTGTGCTCACTAGGAACGTCAACTACCCAGTAGTGGTAGAGGTGCTGTATGACTTAAATACACAGCACCTCCCGATTCTGATTACCCTTAGTACTAAGGCAGTGACTTCGCCGCCCAGAGCCGTTAGGACCAAGATCGACTGGAGGCTGTACCACCAACACCTGCAGAAGAGACCTCCAGTCCACGCACCGATCCACTCAGTGTACGACGTAAAGGCCGCTGTAACCAGAATAACCACGAGCATCCAGGAGGCCCTCAACGCGGCATCTATGATCGTCCCTCTCTCTGGAAGAAAGGAAGAGCTGCCGCTAAACATACGCGTGCAACTGAGAGACAAAAGAGCGCTGAGAAAGCTCTGGGCGCACACTCGCTGCCCCAGAATAAAAATAACACCGACCGTCAGGAGGGACCACTCAACAGCAACACAGCTGACCAGAGTGCTGCACCTGCTTGCAACCGAGCACAACCGCGGCCGCACATCGTTGGGCATCTTTCTCGATATCGAGAAGGCGTTCGACAGGGCAGTAGTGGCACACAGGACTACTCTACAAGTTAGACGATCAGACCAGTGTCCCTCCTGCTATATTGCAGCTAGTGGCATCTTTCCTCGTAGACAGGAAGTTCTACGTCTGTGTAGAGGACGCCGAGTCCGCAAGCGTCCGCAGCTGGTGTGCCACAGAGCAGCTGTCTGTCTCCAGTCCTGTACGCGGCTTACACCAATGACATCCCTACCCTGGCAGGGCATCTACACGAATGGGAGGATGACGTCGAGCTGGCGCTTTACGCGGGTGACAGCGCCTACTTCACCTCGTCCAGAAGAGCCCATATCACCACTGCCAGGATGCAACGTCTGCTGGACCTGTTGCCACCATGATTGGATGAGTGGAGGATGGCTGTCAATGTTAGCAAGACGACTGCTCTACTCACTCGCCGCTATAGAAATCTATCACCACCGCTAACCCTCAGAGGCCAGGAGATCGCATATGAGAAGGCCGTGACCTACCTGTCGGATTGACTGGATGTTGCGCATGACTGCACACGTCGACTTTGTTGTCCGCGAAGCTCGATGTGCGCGGGCGAAGCTTCCTGTCCTGGCATCCAAATTACCGACAAAGTCGAAGTTGACCATCTACAAAATGTACATAAGACCCCTGCTAGCATACGCTGCTCCGGCCTGGTATGCGCTCCTGAGCGATCAACAGAAGCGGCGACTAGGAATGACGTCATAGCGGCCTACCTAAAGATTGAGAGCCTGCAAGAATTCGTGGTTCGGCTGGCGCGCGGTATTTAGACCGCGCCGACAACGGGCCACATGAACACCTCAACGGCTTCGCGCCGTTGCACTCACGGCCCCCGGACGGGCGACCCTATCCAAGAGATCTCCTCCCTATATAGATTATGGAGTCGAGTAAATTCCACAATGCCGCAGAAAGGCCAACTTACGCATAATATTTGTGTAAAACACAAATATTGAGACAACCTCCCTTTTTGACTTAATTACCCGACTGTGATAGTAGTAGTAGTAGATACAAAAGTCGCTATTTATATATACGCCTTTTACCATCAAAGCGCCCAGGACCGGCACACTGTAGTGTGTCGTGAGGAATGTCCGGGTAAAGGGGTTTACACCGAGGTCTGACACCTGCTGGGCAGAAAGCCCATGCAGAAGACAACAGCGAAGCGTAATTTCCAAGTCTCGTCCGGACCGCGCTAGCAGGCGGTCACGTCCGTCAGTCGTCGGCTCCCGCCCGGGCGGGAGAAGTACAGCGCGTCGCTTCGCAGTGGGTGCACGTGCTGTGGGGCCAACTCGGCTTGCGTCAAGCCTCGAGTACGCCCCTGACCCCACCCGGGATGTTACATACCCAACGCTGCGCTTAATCTACCATGCTGGGAAGCGAACTCCGAAAGCCCGGCGTGCTGCTAGGAGAGCGTGCGCCGTCTGTTGGTGACTTCGGCTCCGCGTCGAGATACGTCTCCGCGGGACCTGGAGGTTGCTGACCCTTCGGCAGATCCCTTCCCAGAGGTACGAGTTACGTCAACTTCTGCCTAGGGATCCACCAGGCCTTTACCTAGAGCCAGGAAGGAGCACTAGAGGCCTGGAGTGCTGCTAACTGGAGCGCACACCTGTATTGGCCCTTCGTCGACTCCCTGTCCGCGGAACTCCTCGGGGCTTCGAGACTGCTGACCCTCCGGTAGCACATACCTGGTGGCGCGCAATACGCCAAAGCAGACTACCTACAATGTCGTACAATGTACGGCTCCCAAGACTAGCCCATAGAAATGGGCTGTGAGGATTACCCGGATAATGGGGAACACCCCGAGGCCCGAAACCTGCATGGGATAAACAAGAGTAGTCCCTTGTAGAAGACAACACACGCTCCACGCTCGCAATTTGTTCGATACCATCGGTTCGATACCAGTTACAGTTACCTTATACTCAAAAAAGAAAATAGTGAAAAATTATCACATTCTCAAGGCATTTAAGGATAATTGCTTTTTCATTCCCAGTGTCAACCCTACAAGTTAGAAAAAGTAAAGTTAATAACATTGAGTTATAATGTACTACGTACTAGAGAAGCTATTCCAAACAAAAATTGTGCGCTACTTCTATGTCTTCGCGCATGCGCGGTAATAGTAGAGTCGCGCATGCGCAGTTGGTATAAACGCGCTTTGCGCTTGCGCGGTCAGTTTTTGTTATTATAGATTATACGTAAGTAGAATGGTCAGTATGTAATAATTGTTTATTTATATTGTATTGTTAATTATATCGAGTACTTACAATTTTTTAAATTGTTTTTTATTTTGTATATGTGTTAATTTAATATAATATTATGTCAGAATTACATTTTGATGATATTGTTATCTGAATATTTTAAAAGGTATCTATGTCAAATATAAAAAACGTACTAAATGTATGTTTAACAAAACTTATTAACATAAAATTTAAATTACAAATATATTTATTTAAATTAGAATCATAAATGTTGTAAATAATCGTTCATAAATGCTGGGCACGCGAGAGTTAAAAATGGACGAATTTATTCCA